CCACCGTAGGCTGGAAGGTGTCACACTGTGAAAAGGCGTGTTCTTTACAGGAAAGAGAGGACCGGGGACCCCCATCCAGGGGCCCCCTCGCAGGGAACATACGAAGGCAATCTTCCCTTGTCCGGCTGTCGTTTGCACCAGGAGCAGGTGCCTGTCTTTGCTGTCTGTCCGCGTCTCTTCTCAGTGTCTGTCCTGTGCGGAGGGTTTCATGCTGCTCGGGTGGAGCTGACCCCCCCACCCCCACCCCAGCGTCCAGACTCATTCACACAAATAGACACAGAGCCTCGGTCTCACCAGAGCGCATCACCGGATGCAGCGATTGGTCCAGGAATGGGCACGTGACTCCAGCTGAGCCAATCAGAATCTTCCCAGGAAAGCGTCCTCTTCCCAGGAGGGCTGAGCAGGTGGGGTGTGCGGTGGACGGTGATTCTTTGACCTGGTCTTTTTAGTTACACGAACCAATAACGTTCCTCCTTTCCCTTGTTTGTATTATTCTTAGTCTTTCTTGCTTAGAAATAAAAGGGCTCTGACTAATTCAAAGCCCTGTCCTGCTGACCTAGGCCAGACCCCATGTGGCCCGTAGGATTTTTTTCCTGTCTAACCTGGACAAAAGCCTGGAGGCAGACCTGCTTCTCATAAGGGAGCCTGGCTCCCTCTATGGGTCCCATCCTGCTTTCTTTTTAGCTGCTAAAGGGGCAGGGGCAGGTCCTCTGACTGTCACAGCCGTGAGGGAGAAGGAAGAAGCAATCCGAAAGGAAAAGAGGAAAAGCATCAAAGCCAAGAGAGCATCAGAGACACTGAACCCCCAAATGAACACTTTTTAACTTCTTCGTCTATCCCTTTGAAAATTCATTTCTCCAATTTCGTGCTTGGCCGTCACCCACGTGGGTGCTACCCCTGTATCAGCCTCAGTTCATTGGTGCAAGAATGGAACGGGGATTCTGGCCGGTGCAAGCTGAGAATGAGTTTATCAGAAGGAGCAAACCGGGCTCAGAAAACGCACAAGAACAAAAGGAGGATGAACTGGCAGAATCACAACCAAAATCAGGCCACAGAACCAATTGGGTCCCAGGGCTTCACTGCCACCAGGGCCAAAGAGTGGACATTGCCTCTCCTTGGGGCCAGAGAGATGCTGTCCACCTCTCCCCACCCTAAAGAAGGCTTCCCATCCCTGCATGTGGGCATCAAAACCCTCAGTGGGAATACCTGTTTGGCCAAGTCTAAACTGTGAGTCCAAGTCAGGGGAGATGGGGATAAGACATCTTTCAGCTGAGCTCTGCCTCCCACTGAGACTCCTCTGGGGAAATTTCCCAAACATGCATTAAGTTAAAAATATTTCCTATGTCTTCTTTTGGAGTAAAGCAGAGGAAAAAAATATTCCCCCCACCCCCAATATGGATTGTGTCACAACAGTGCCCTCTGGTGACAGACTTAGGGGAAAGTGTAAAAAACAAGGTAAGTATTTACACACCCTATAAAAAATCATGCTGAAATTCGGTCCTACTTAATTTTGTGAATCAGACCAGTTCACAAAGCAAGAGAAAATTCCAAAATGCAACTGCAATCCTCTGAGAGGGATCTAAAAAGGACCATGACTTATAATGGATGTTAGCTGGAATCAGCCACAGTCCATGTCCACAAGAATTCTAACAGCCCTTGTGATGAGTGACAGCATCATTTCTACTGTGACCCTCAAGTGTGTCTCTTGACCAAAGAGGAAACCTGCTCCTTTGAAGCCTCCACAGCCCTGAACCTCCTCATCTGAGCTGCACCGAAGGCCCCATCAGTGAGCCACTGGAGCTGGGACAAGCCTAGGGTCTGGACATAGAACATGTTTGTGGAATGGACGGAGGGGCCCAAACCTTGGGAGTGAATTTCAGATAGAGCACAGCATCACGCACAGTGACAGCAATGTGCCATGGTGCTTGTACACTGAAGAGGCCGAGACAGGGAGAGAGGACCTGCCGCTGTGATAGGTCTACAGTCACCAGGCGAGCAAGGAAAAGTGCACACCTGAGAAATGGAGGGAAAGTAGTGGGGAGGGGGAGGGGCTCTCCAGAGAAGACCTGGAGTTTGGGACACGAACAGGAATGAAATGGTCTGAATGTTTTTGTCCCCCCCCAAAAATTCATGTGTTAACGCCCTAACCCCCAATGTGATGGAATTTAGAGGTGGGGGCTTTGGGAGGTGACAAGCTCATGAGGGTGAAGGCGTCATGATGGGATGAGTGCCCTTATAAGAAGAAACACCTGAGAGCTGGTTCTCTCTCTCTCTCTCTCTCTCTCTCTCTCTTTCTCTCTCGCTCTCTCTCTCTCTTCCCCCCCCCATGTGAAGACCCAGTGAGAAGGTGGTCATCTACAAGCCAGGAAGAAAGTCCTCACCAGAATCCAACCATGCCAGCACCCTGATCTTAGACTAGCCTCCAAAACTGTAATCAATAAATGTCTGCTGTTTAAGCCACCCAATCTATGGTATTCTGTTATAGCCTGAACAGCCTGAGACAATCTCTTATCTTACCTCTGGCTTTCAGAATACAGAAGCCTGTTCCATGTTCCTACCCCTTGCTGTGCATTCATTGAACAAAATATTCATAAAGCATTGACTCTGGTCCCAACCTTGGGCTAGGGGTTGAATGCTGGGCTACTTTAATATGATGTCAGCTGGTCAAGTCCCCTACAACGGGGATTTTAACCTGAAGCTTAACTGACAAGAAGGAGCCCACAGGGCAGGTCTGGGGCAGAGTGCTCCAGGCAGACGGAATGAGTGGGGCCTGCTCGAAGAGCAGAGGGGAAGGCAGGACAGTGCACCAGTTGTTCAGGTGCACGGTGTGGAGGCCATCTGGACACAGTGCTGAGATCACCCCTTCTGGCACCCCACTTCCAGGGTAGGATGGTGGAGTGGTTAGAGGTACAGACTCCATCCTGAAAGCCTGATTCCAATCCCCATAGTGCCACTTCTTCATTGTGCAACCCAGGATTAGGCTCTTGATCACTCTGTGCCTCGATTTCCTCATCTGTAAAATGGGGATAATCATAGCACCTACCTTAAAGGATTGCTGTGAAGAACAAAATGCTTGGGAGAATGCCTTGCATGCATGAAGCGCTGCACAGGCCCGCCAGCATCATCAGCTCAGATTATAATTGACTCTCTTTAGAATTATTTTCTTTAAAAGAACCAACTCAGAAACATCTCTGGTACAAGTGGGGTTTGTGAAAACAAAACTCTTCTTCTCACATGAAGCAGAGACCTTGTGTCTGCAACAGCCCAGGTACATTCTCTGGAATAACAAGACTTTTTATTTAATATATAATAAATTATTTAATATATAACTTTTTATTTAATAATAATATATTTGAAAATAAAATTTAGCAGAATCAAGTTTTTAATAACATAAACCCTAATTGTGTGCCCTGGGGGCCATGAGTGTCTTTTCTTTTCCCGGAGCGGGCACGCGGGGCCGAAGCTCGAGTTCTCCCGAAGTCATCCGATGACCTTTCTTTCAGCAACTCTTTCCCCAGCTGCAGCAAGGAGAGCAACCTGGGGCGGGGACTGTGTCTAGTCAGGGTTTTGCCTCAGCGCCAGACACGAGGCAGTGTTTCTTGACCAAAAGGACGGGGTTGCCAGCTAGAAAGCCGTAGGACGGGCAGATGGATGACAGACTCAAAAATGAAGCTGCTAGTCCTGGCGTTCTCCTTCGGAGCTTATTTATTAGGACGTGGCCATTTCTTAGAGTTCTCAGTAGAAAAATGAATCCGTCGTTCTTGCAGCAGACACTGGGGAGGGTACTGTGTGCTAGGCCCGGTGTTGGGCACTAGAGATATTACATGTATAAGACTTTTGCTGCCTAGTCTAGTTGGAGAAGGTGGACAAGTCAATGTTGGGTATGACAAGCGCCGCGGCAGTGGTAGGCATAATGGGTTCTGAGAGCACCTGATGGGTTCAGGCAGAAGAAGA